CCAACTAAGAAAATTGATGAGATGGGAAAAGTATCAATAGAACAGTGTTAAATGTCCAATTTCCTCCATTCTGAGATTCTGAACATAGTGGATGATTGAATCTGACAAACTGCAATGATATGAGTTTATTTCCATTTTTGACACTTTATTACACAATACATGATAACAAGTTTACCATGTTTTTTACATAATCAACTAACAATGTTGTAAAGATGCAGGAAATATCAAACAAACACTTTTAGGCATCTTATTAGTTAAATAATGAGACTGTTAACATGCCTAATAATTGAATCTGAGGAAATGTGAAAAAACAGTATAACTTCTTAAGTAATGGCCCGATTATGCTTATTTTCGAACTCAACCTGCGCTTTAGTAAGATTGACCACTCCTGTGAGTATAATTACAATTGGCCAATCCGTTTTTCTTATAATGTGTTATCAGTGTTGCATTTATATTGAAAAAAGTGAAAAAACAGCATAAATTCCCTAAAAGTGACCCGATCATGCTGATTTTCGAACTTGACCTGCATATTATGAATATTCATCAGTTCTGTAAGTTTCAAGCCAAAAGAAAAAACAGTTTTCCACTTATCGTGTTATCGGTGCTGCATATATGCTGAAAAAAGTGAAAAAACAGCATAAATTCCCTATAAGTGACCCAGTCATGCCGATTTTCGAACTTGACCTGCGTATTATGAATATTTATCAGTTCTGTAAGTTTCAAGCCAAAGGGTAAAACAGCTTTTCAGTTATTGTGTTATCGGTGTTGCAAAAATGCTGAAAAAAGTGAAAAAACAGCATAAATTCCCTATAAGTGACCCGATCATGCTGATTTTCGAACTTGACCTGTGTATTATGAATATTCATCAGTTCTGTAAGTTTCAAGCCAAAAGAAAAAACAGTTTTCCACTTATCCTGTTATCGGTAAAAGTGCACGGCGACGGCGACGACGGCGACAGCGACGGCGACGACAGACGCAGATGATGGCTATATGTACAGACACATCTGTGTCTGTACATAAAAAGATGCCAAAACCAACCTTTCGCTAAGATTTTAACAAGCAATATACTTGCAAATTTTCTTTGCAAGTATCGAATGATATATATATATATATATATATATATATATATATGGTATAATGCTTGTTACATACAAGTTAACTCAAAAGTGAACAAACTGGCCAACGTTGGATCTAAAACTCAGGGTACTTGGATGATGCCCTGGTTCCAAACTGTCAGCGTCAGTATCCCAAGTGTCTCAGCACTGTTAATCTAAGAGATATATTAACACATACCTTGCACCATGTTTAAATTGGCTCACAGTTAGTGTAGGAGATAGTCTGTCAAAGTGGTTAGGTCCATACATGGCTCTTGCCATAGCAGATATGTCCTCCACACCTCTATAGTACTCATGATCAAAGTGATCACTGATAGAGTAAACTCCTGCTAATCCTGGGAAGAAATGTGTTCATTGAAACTGCCAGCTTTGGATTAAATTTTGAATTTCAATTTTGTTTTGAATCAATTTCTTTTGGAATACTAGTACACCATTGAGTCTTCAAAGCATAATTACTATGAGGTATGAATATCATTCTCAAAATTTCTTTACAATTATACTTAAATGTTTTAAAATTGTTCTATACCATATAAACTAACAAAAATCAAATTACCAATGATTGCCTTGACTGAACCAAGAAAAGATGCAGCAACTGATGAGCTTCTTTCCATTTTGCTTTCTGATAAAAACATTTGTTCCTCCACAGGTATGCCACCAGCCTCTTCCTTCAAATGCACTCTTCTAGATAATACAGGCTCATCTTGCAAGTCCTCTTCCTTTACAAAATATATTGAGCCTGTAGATTTACTTTCAGGTTGTTCACTATCTTCTTTCTCTCCAGATGCTGTGGCATTATCCGTAACCACACTTTCAACTAAGGATCTCAAGTTTTGGGATTCATCCATGCTCTGTTCATTTTTCTGTTCTCCTTCAACTAACAAAAAGGAGCCAGAGTTGTCTGCACATTGTTCACTGTCATCAGGTTTGTTATTGTCACTGCTGTCACCATTACTCCCGTCAAAATATTTCTCTTCAAACCTGATGCCATTTCCTGATGATGAAGACAGTTGTCGCATGGCAGCACTGGGAGATATGGGTGGCGACTCTTCACTTTGGCAGCGTAACAAGAGTTCAAATATGGACATAAAACATAGATGTGCACCTGCTGAATGGCCTATTAACAAAACTTGATCCTGAAGTAAAGAATTTACCTCAACATAAGGAACTGAAACAATGAAATGTCTGAAAGAAATGTAATTCAGGAGTTTCTAAATAGGTAGTAAATCATAAGAAAATTGATTGCCGAAACCACATTCACATGTTGCTGAAATCTTCCCATTTTCTTTTTGGGTAGCATGTAAAGGCACCACATATCCTTTTAAAATAATGAATTGTGCATGTAAGCATTCTCTTTGCTAAAAGCCAGTGGTGAAAAAATGTGGAAATAAAAGGTATTAAAATAGTGTTTTTTTTTTCGCCTGAAAATGATCAAACTTGTTATTTGTGAGTACTTTAAACTAATTAATTCCGCCAGCCAAATTTGTTGATACTTTTATTCAGGCTCTACCCTGTATATGATATATTTTATAGTGATTTTGACTAAAAATCAAATTCACACTGCAAACAAATACATCTGATGCGCTAAAGTGGAAGCACTTGAAATAAAGTTATACCTTGTTTCCTTTGTAATTTTCTATATTTTCTTGTATCCAAGCTAAACAGTCAACTATATCTTGCATCATATCATCTGCATAACCCTAGAATGAATGAATTCATGTAATCAGTGTCTAATAACATGTTAATATCAAAACTGTTGAGATAACAAAGATATTAATCTGAACAAAAACATCAGGATTCATATGAAACAATAGAATATAAGCACTCAAAAGAGTGGTTTATGAAGAAATTAGAAAGTCAAGAATTTCTGAGCAATCACATTAACTTCTTTGTGTTTATAAATAACTCCTATTAAAAATATACTCATTCACCTTGGGATACTTGGAATAATCTGGTGCCAGTACTAAAGCATTCAACTTGTCTGCTATTTGTGAACACAGAAGCCCATACATGTTCTTGCTCCCAGAGCTCCAGGCCCCTCCATATACAAACACTACCACAGGGCACGGGCTATCTATGGCTGCCTTTCCTTTGCTTGGATAATAAAGGTCAAGCTTGGTGTCGCTACTTCCAAAGTGAATTTCCTGGGGAGTGAAAACAGTAATATAGTGATAAGGATATGAGCCAGAACTTAATGTGGAGAGCTCTTATCGACTTGTTCATTTTCATATACATGCAGTATTAACGAAATATGTTTATGAATACAGAAAGGTTACATGCATATATGCAGTTCCTATAAAAGTTTACCATTTGCAGAAAATCTACCAAAGGTTGTAGTAGTAAACATTATTATTATATCAAACAAATAGTTTGAAATGAAACTATGACTGGTATCATTTTTGCTGTTGAGAAAGAATTCTGAGAAAACACAAGAAAAATTGCAAACAACATTTTACACTTTAGGAAAATAAGAACAGTCTGATTAAATACCTTCACCAATTGGTCTGGTGTTGCAGTCCAGTAAAACCAGTTCCACTGTAAATACAACTTAGGGATTGCAATACAGCATAATTCATTGCATACACTTTCTTTGGGTCAAGTGCCCGCCTGTACTTGTTCTTCCCCTGGGGCCAGCCATACATCAAGTTACACAGTATGGCTACAGCATAGGGCACTGCACCAAACAGAGAGACTGCCAGCAAGGCACCTTTCAGAGCAGTTTGTGATGACAGGGACATGTCTGTAAGTACAGTATCCAAGACATGAAAGATTTAGTAAATAAAACAAATTACCACTGTATGAAACGGCTTTTAGCATGATTTACTTGACCATAATAAATGAAGTGTTCATGTAGACACCAGACTGCATGAGTGTGCAAAAAAGTGCACAATTTCATCATCTGAGTATTCATATTTAATTATCAGGTAAACAGAGGCCAAGGACAACAATTAAATATACGCATTTCACATGATTTTGCAATTCAAATGGAAAACTATTTCTAATTTATCCGTAATTGAGATACTATGTTGCAATGTAAATAATATATATCTCGAACATCGGTCCCCTCGAACACATTAACCGCAACATAAAGAACCGAAACAACTGCGTGGGTTTAGACAGAAATGTGAAACAAGCGAACCTGAAAATGATAAATAAATACTCAAACACGGTAATTTGTCAAACTTAAGAAACACTATTTATTATATGAAATTTTACATGCAACACTTACGCAAGTTATGGTAAACGTTTAACGCACAAAATACGACCCCCCTATATTCCACAATAATCACAGATGCACTTCCACATAAAATAAGTTAATTACATAACTTTCATAAAAATGACACCAAATTATCAACCAATTACGTAGAATGCGTAATTTGAGAACTTATACAAACCTGTCACCCTGCTGAAATGTTATCATGCAAGCAAGGTGAAGTACGACGTGAAGTAGTACAGGAAAAAACGTGTGCGCATGCGTCATACAATCAGATCATTTCTTTTCTTTTGGGGGGGGGGGGGGGTTGAACGGTGTCAGTTATTAGGTCAGGAAACAAATCCCACAGGGGATGACAAAGAGAATGTTTATAAAGTGTGCACGGCTGTCTCTCATACTGGCTACAAATGCATTTTATATACCTCTTGTGAAATTCTAAGTTACAATTAATGCCCTCTGCAAACATTCTTCTTCAACAGAAGGGGGCGTCTCGATAGTCCGAAGGTTCATTGGTCCGAAGGTTCATTGGTCCGAAAATTCGTAAATTTTTCATCAGATTTTCAACAAAAAGGTTCATTGGTCCGAAGGTTCATTAGTCCGAAAATTAAAGGTCCATTGGTCCGAAGGTTCATTAGTCCGAAGGTTCGATAGTCCGAAGGTTCATTAGTCCGAAGGTTCGATAGTCCGAAACATTTTAAGATGTTCTTCGATTTTAAGAATTATAATTACAAACGGAATCTAAGGGTGCGTTCCCAACGAAACTATCATTCTACGTAGATTGATCCAACTCCACCAGGATTCTCACTGTATGCAATCAGATTAGCAATCCTGGAGCTGCTAGGGGGTGATTAACTTTCGTGTGAACTCAGCTTCTAGAATCTTTATCATTTCGTTTTGAGTGCGACCGAAACGCACGTGAAAATTATCCATATAGGTCGTATTGTTTCCGTGAACTACTCTTTACAATGTGGGGAAGTTTGGGGATATGCAATGGCTACCCTTTCCAACTCATGAACACCATACATGTTTCACATGAAATATTGAATAAAGATTGGAACGCATAAAATGAGAGGACGCCTATAATGACATTTTCTTACGATGTCTTAAGATACTATGATTAGAATTCAAATTCTTCTAACCTACACATTTCTTAAATTATGTAAAAGTTATAGAATAATTGCATTTCCAAACAAACTATGTTGTTGTTCGCACAGCCCACTCCCCTACCCTCCCCCCC